GGTTTGTGTGTGTGTGTGTGCATGTGTGTGTAGGAGACAGAGAAAGGGGATGTGTGTGCACAAGGGTCCATGTTAGCAGCACTCACAGGCTTCTGGCCAGCTCTGGAAAGGACATTTTTTGCCCCTCACAGTGTCCTCTTGCAGGTAGGATGCCTGGAGGGAGGGGAGCAGGTGGGGAAGGTCAGAGGAATGGCTTTTCCAATCTCACTCAGACCTAAAACTCATTCTGGCTTTACCTTAGTGATGCAAGCTGCCTGAGCTGGCCAGGCATGGAGCAGGAGGAGGCAATGTGGGGTGGGGGCAAGGGTGGGGAGGAACTCCACAGCGTAATCCTAGGAGAGAGATCAGCAAGTGAGGGACTGACTTCAGCTCTTAGGTGTGTGCGTTTGGACTTTACCTAATCTTCCTGAGTGTTTCACAGTCTGTAAAATGGGGTAATAAGACTCAACTCAAGGGTTGTAGTACAAATAAAATAAACCGGGCAAAATGCATGACTCAGAGCCTGATAGTAGGATTTCAGCAAATGTTGATCCCATCTCTTCCCCCTCCCTAGATTGTGCCAGAATTCACCCTGTGCTTCTTACTTTAAATACTTTTTGGAACAGTCTTTACAATAAATAAGTAAACCAGCAAGACAATAAATAAAATGCACACCTCCTTTTCTTTTTCCCCCTTTCTTCCTCACCTTTATTCCTTTTATTTTTCCAGCGGGTTCTGGAATGCTGTTTTACTTCCCTTTCTTCCCTCTTTCCCTCTCTTCTCCCATCTTCCTTCCCTTCCTTCTTCTCTTCCTCCGTCCCTTCCTCTCTTCCTCCCTCCCCTCCTCTCTCCCTCCCCTGCTTCCTCCCTCCCTCCCTCCCTTCCTCTTCCTTCCTTCCTTCTTATCTCCATTTCTTTCTTTCTTTCTTTTTTTTTTTTTTTTTTTTTTGAGACGGAGTCTTGCTCAGTCGTTGCCCGGGCTGGAGTGCGGTGCCGGGATCTCGGCTCACTGCAAGCTCCGCCTCCCGGGTTCCCGCCATTCTGCTGCCTCAGCCTCCTGAGTAGCTGGACTACAGGCGCTCACCACTACGCCCCGCTAAGTTTTGTTTTTTTTGAGACAGAGTCTCGCTCTGCCGCCCAGGCTGGAGTGCAGTGGCGGGATCTCAGCTCACTGCAAGCTCCGCCTCCCGGGTTTACGGCATTCTCCTGCCTCGGCCTCCCGAGTAGCTGGGACTGCAGGCGCCCACCACCTCGCCCGGCTAGTTTTTTGTATTTTTTAGTAGAGACGGGGTTTCTCCGTGTTAGCCAGGATGGTCTCGATCTCCTGACCTCGTGATCCGCCC